ATTTTATACCGGGTACAGGGAATCTAATGAAGTTTGGGTAGGGACTATTATCCTCTTTGCCAGGTTCGGTTTGGTCCCCTGGGGAAGTGAATGCATCTTACCGGTAGCGTACGTTTTTTACGTGGTAAAAGGGCAACTAAGTAGCTTGTCGAAATGTTTGTTTTATTTTTAAAATGATATCGACTTTGGTATCATGAGATGTTTTGTGGTTTCGTCATGAAACATCCTGCCCCCAACTGGCCTGTTAATCCTCTGTAAAAACTCGGGAGATTAATGAGAACAGGCAATTATATGTTATTTGTGTGGTGATTTGTTTTTCAGTATTTCTTAAAGGTTTAAATGCTAGTCAATGTTTTGAATCCATTCGGAACAGTGGCCTTAATTCTCGATATCAGTTGATTCTGTTTTTGTGAGACCTGCAAAAAATGTCTGAGAAATAGCTGATCTATTACTCAAAGTTCTTTGGGTCTATTTTTTTTGGAATGGAAATATAATCTCCGTTTAGAGAGCACTAAATGATTTGGTTGCTTAAGTTGAATTTCTCAGGTCTAGAACATAGTTTGGCCTTGCATTTATTCAGGGTTAGTTTTTTAGATCCAGTAATTTTTCACTGCGGATAATGGGGGTTTCCCAGTGGAGTGAACAATTGAGGAGCTTGACAAATCTGCATGTCATTACTAGTATGCAGTGAGTTTTGTGCTGTATAGTTTGTGTGTGTATGTGTGTTGTAATTAGTCTCACATGGTCCACTTAGTCAGAATGACAGCTTGAGGTGTTTTTGGGGCGACACATATCAGTGTCTTCATTTCTCTACATCTGTAGGTGTCTTTCGTTTGTGGTATGATGCTGGGTGGGATAGAGTGGCAGGGGGTCTAATTTAGAGAGTAGTTGTCTATTTATTTGGTATTGGTTTATTTTTCATTTTTCACAAATATTGTATTGGTATGATTGTGTTTAATGGTTATGCTATGTATGTATGTATTCTGTATGGTATGGCTATGGTATGTATGTATGTAACTATACAATAGTTATTCAATTCCAATTCAATTCAATTCGAATTCAATTCTATTCTATTCAAAGGGGCTTTATTGGCATGAGAAACAGACATTAACACTGCCAAAGCAAGTGTGAAATATATGTATATACACACATTAGTAAGAAAACTAGTGTGTGTGTGTGTGGGGGGGGAACCCCATATGTTCAGGGGTAAATGTGTCAGCATAAAGAAATCCTCTACAGATGTTAACCTGGGTCACTATTATAAAATTATAAAATCAATTTACATAACAAAGACGGCTAATAACAACTCAATCTGTGCTATTTGTAAATCATTACATGTCCTGGGGCTGAGAGATAATTCAATATTAGCCTTTATTAACTTGAATTGTATTATGATGATATGATCATATCATGTACTGAATTCTGCTGTTTAATTACCTCCAAGCAAATTAAAAAGCAAATTAAAACTATCATATGTGATTATCATGCATTTGCCATATCATATAATGATATGTATAAATATAGTTAAATAATATTGTGATACTGATTTGAACAATATCTGCCTATCTGTCCAATGCTTCTTTCCCACAACTGGAAAAAGTCCAAGACAATGCCATTCGCCCACCCATTTTCAAATCCTTGTTGTTGTGAATGATTTCTTTATTACAATGCTATGTTTGTTTTCTTGCTACTGCTGTTCCTCCACTGCCAGGTGCATTACCAATTTCAACTACTCCGGGTTTCACCTTCTGTTGTTTTTGGATCAGAAGCACCTCATTTCTCTCGCCCAGAATTCAATTAAAAAAAAATCATTCACAGGTTCCTACATTGCCTACAGTGTCCCACTGGGGACAGTGTTTGCGTATATACCGAAAGATTTGACAGCACAACAACAATGTTCCTGTTAATTTAAGACTATGGTGTTCGTACAGGGTTTACAGCTGATAATCGCTACCAAACAACAACTACCCAACTCAATAAAACCTTTTTTTCTTCTGCTTGTAATCGTTACGCCAATAGGAACAATAATAAAATATAAATCTGGACTAATCACTGCTCACTTACATCACTCTAGGTCCTTCTTGAGCTGGGAGAGTACCTGCTCTGAAGTACAAGCTTAGAAAGTCCCTCAAAACGCTGTTCTAAAAACTACAATTCCTGCAGTGTGGACACAAACAAAAAAGGGGGGCAGGGGTCCTCCAACTGTTCTTAAAACTATGAAAAAGTTCCTGTATAATACTTAATTCTTTCTTTCCACTATAAAACACCGCAAGAAACCAGGGTGTAGCGTATCTGCATGTCTTACTGTGCAATAAGAATCTTGACCAGCCCTGCGTGGCCACATGTAGCAGCGGCGTGCAGCGGCGTCCACAGCTCGTTGTCCTGAGCATTGACACTCGCTCCTCGGTCCAGCAGGATCTTCACCATCTCCTCATAGTTATCGATACAACACTGTAGGGAAAGAGAGGACGAGGGGTAGAGTGAGACAGGGGAAAACATTTGTTTACTCTTTGATGCTGTAATACTTCAGTTTGAGTTAGATGGAGGGAAGAATTGTGACAAGGTGCAATAAAGTGCTGTTTGTAATGCAATCATCAAGTAACATGAGAGTTCTAGCGACAGTTCCCTCTTGTTTAGAGGAAAATGAAATGCTGGCTGGAAAGGAACTAGGAACTTTATTATTTTCAGTCTGCTGTAGCATATAATTCATACAGTGAGTACTAAGCTGAGCTGTATGCCTCAGCACTTTAATCACAGCAAGAAAGGGATGAAAAGAGACTCATTTGTCACCAAGAGCACAAATGAACAAGAAGTGCATTGAGAAGACAAACTGTATCTCTTCGAAAGCCCTTAATAGCATATTGCAAAGTGCAAAACTGAGAACGCATTAAGCCAATTTGGACACAGTCTTTCTGACATCTCACCCATTGTGTGGGTTGTTCCCTGGATCTGAGACAGAACGGGAAATGCACCCATAACTCACACCCATTCACAGAGACAGGGAGACAAAGACAGAGAGGGACAGAAAGTATTTTCCTTGTTAAACTTGGGTGTGATTACAGGGTGGGGAGGAAGGATCATTTTTTCCATGAAAACCATCCTCCAATCTAGCTGCTGTCAGCAACAGCAGTTTTCTCCATCAGAGCTAATTGGTGTGAGCGTGACAGTGCTGTGCCGCTGAACAAAGACAAATGCGTCCGAGAAGACTTGAAAGAAAAACAACAACGAGAGAGACTGCAAAGAGCAGACATGAAGTCAAAGAGATTACTTTGTCACAGTAGGAGGGTCAGATATAATCAGAAAATTGAAGGATTTAGAGCAAATGGCATTTTACTGAGCCGGCGTTATTATTTGCGTTGGTTAAGTTGAGGGTTTCAGTCTGATCTATCACGTTAGGTTGTACCCTCCCATCGCTCCAGTAGAAATGTCATGAAAATCCTTTGTTCCCAATAACAACTGCAAGAGCACCTTCACTTGTGTGAGAAGCCACTGGAATGTTTTGTCTCTGTTTTGAAATGAAAATGAGACATCTGTCATGATGAAATATAAAATATCCTCCGACAAAATGACTGCTGTTAATCCCATTATGATCCAACCCACTGAGAGTCCTTTACTGAAGATTTAAACAATGAGAGGGAAATGAAAGGAAAAAAAAAGGTTGATAATAAAAAAGGAAAGAACCAAATAATTAAATAATTTTGACAGTCGCTTATTCTGTTAAGGGTTCTGGGAAGCAGCAGCTGATCCCAGCATGCATTGTAAACAGACCCATCCACCCTGTACACAGGGCTAACACACATGAGTTTTTCAAGTGTTTCCAATTTTTAACTTTCTTAATGCCACCCACCAAACAAATCCTTTAATGCAAACATTAATAACTCTATGTGTAGAACCTCTATGTAATTATAGTATTGTTGTTAATTATTCAGATTCTGAGATTTCTGGTAGAAGTGGAGGCCGTCTACCTTCTCTCAGCTCATCATTCCGTGTTTCTAGTTGCTCACATACAGACAAATGATGCAAACTGACATAAATCATTATTAATTATATAAACCAGAGAGTTTAATCAATTAGTCAGTCAACACAAAATTAATCTGCATCTTTTTTGATAATCGATTAATAGTTTGACTTGTTTTTCAAGCAAAAACTCAAAACACTGTCTGATTCCAGCTTCTCAAATGAGAATATGTTCTGCTCTTCTCTGTTTCATGTCATTGCAGATTGAATATGTTTGCGTTTTGGTCAGTTGGTTAGACAAAATGAGAAATTGTGATGGGTGTTCTTTCCTAGTCTTTTTTTAGACTAAATTATTAATCAGAAAATAATGAGCAGATTAGTGGAATAATTTAATTGATAGAAGCCCTGATCTAAACTTATTCAGGAAATACACAACAAGAATCCAAAGGCCTGTGCGACAAAGTAAAAAAAAATTTATAATAGAAAGCAAGATTTTTATGATTTTGTTTTTATGTTAGTATTACTCAACTGATGAATATAGTTGATATTGAGGACAACAGGATGTTGAAGTGCCCTGGAACCATCCTTACTACAAACGTCTGTTGCACAAAACATGATTGTTGATTTTAAGTCAAGGGGCATAAGTAACCTCTGCCATCTTACAGCATTTAACATCAACATCAAGTCCATGCTACAGCTTCAAAAGTTGTAGGTAACAAATAGTCCGAATGTAAGCTACGAAGGCATTGATCCAAAATAATTGTATATTAAGAGACAAAATATCATATTAAAAATAATACAGGGCAGGTAGTAAAATCAGAATCAGAATCTGAAATACTTTAATAATCCCAGGGGGAAATTATTTAAATTTAAAGTGAGGGGCAGCAAAATTTGTTTAGAGCAGAGAGGACGAACTGTGAAAGTGTGAAAGTGAAACTGTGAAAGCATTAATCAACAACCTCACAATCCCTGCAGATGTGCTATTGTTAAGATTCATCATTAAAGAAAAATGTGTAAACGCTTTAACCCAAAAAGTCTCATATGAATTTGAAAAATAAAGTGACCCATAAGAATTAAGGGAAACCCTGAGTTACTGATTCACAAAAAGCATTATTAAGAAATAACATACATGGATAAATGAACAGATTCACTGAAACTTTCCCAATCTAGTTTTTAAATAGCCCCTGTCCTGTGGGTTTCTGCCGCTTTTTTTAAGGCAAGAAATAAATCACATGATGTGTTACAGAAATGTTACCTGGTTCTAATACATAACAAGGTGATTTGGAGAAGCTGGTAAACATCTGTTGTGTTGAGTGACAACTTCTTATAAAGAGTTTATTTTCCCAAAAAATAACTTTTCACCTTTTACACTTTAGAAATATTCCACCACACTGCACATGCTCGCCATGTAAACCTTGAGAAGTTGAGGTGTGCAGAGACGACTGTTTTTTCTTTTACGTGGATTTACATAGAAGATGAGCTGAAGTGCAATCTCTAGAGGTTTCAAGTATCTGAGAACAGGAGCGAGTCAAACAGTAATACAGAGAGAGGCACGAACATGAATATAAACCAGCAGGATGGAAATGCCAAGAAATAGAAGTGGTTGGCAGGTTAGAAGACAGACAACAGTAACTTTGGAAACAACAACAGCAGATTCTCTTCTTCGCCATCCTATTGATATTTTTTAGATTTTAAGTGATTTTAGTACAGTACAAAATGACTCTATACAACTTTAAACACAACAACAATGAAATATACAAGTAAGTACAAAACTATTCTTGTAGTAATGAGTATTGAGTGTTTAGTGTCATTCAGCCAGCAAGAACTGAGCATAGAAACCTATTTTGTGACAAGGCCAGCAGATGTGACTGTGAGATGATTTAGTGGAGGAGACAGTCAACTTTGGTACCATGTACCATGTCTCAGTCACCTGTACTCCATCTCTGTCTCTGCCTTCCAACTGCCTGAAAGAAAATATTAATCTGAATGTAAATAACATATGAAATAATATATAAAAAAAATACCAATAAAAAAAAGAAATAAAAAGACTACATTGACGTAAGGAGAAAATGAGTTGTGTGTCTCTGGAGTTTTGTAACTTCGACTGCCAAGGCTACTCAGATAAGGTGGCTCTGACAGGAGTATGTGGTGGGGGAGTACATAAATTAATATACAACACAAGAGAGGAAATTAAATTACTTCACAGATGCAGAGGACAGATAGCAGGAAGACAGATAAGAGGTGCAATAGATGCATTGAAAACACAACCGCTGACTGACTGGAAACACTACCGGCTGACAAACACATCCTGTGAGCAGAATTTTAGTCACAGTGGGAAGTATGTATACGTGAAGATTAGCAGATTTAAGGCCTTTTTACACACAGTCCAACATTTTCACATGATAATTGTGCATTTTTCCCTGAGCTCGAGTTTGAGTTTTACATTTAGTTCAAATCTAACGGACCACTAAAGACGATCAATACTCAGCTACCGAGCTACTACAAAGAAAGGGAAAGTCTGACCTGCAGATAATTTTAGTTTTGGGAATGTGACAAGTAGGACAGCAGATACAGATCTGAAAGTAAAGCAGAAAATGCACATGGGCAATATGTGGCCTGGTTACACATCTCTAAATCACTGCCCATATCTCAAATCAGTGTGCTCATCAACAACTGTTTCCCTGGTTAGATAAACAACCGACCCAATCAGAACTTTTGCTTAGGAATGGGGACGTTATATTTCTGTGCCAGAGCATAAAAATTAGACTCTGTAAGGGAGGGTTTTGCTGCTACATCCTCACTTAGTGTGGTATAACCAGTATCTTTTGGTTGCTAACAATAGCAAACTTCAGATACTGAATGACTGAGTCAGTTCACCAAATGCATTCATTTCTTGAGCTTCTACATATTTCAAAGATCAACCATTCAGTGATTTGTTTCTCAAAAATAAAATCAGACATGAACACAATTGTAAGACTGAATAATAAAGTGAAACAAATTGTTCATTCAGTCTGATTATCAGGGTAGATGATCAGATTTATTGCCAAAGATTCAGTTCTGACCTTTTTTTCAGTAGAAGATGTTAAAAGATTATGAAGAAATCTCTGTGATATGTATATGAGAAGGAAAACTGCCACATGATACTAAAAGCAGGCAGGCAGCATGAAAAGAAAAAAAAAAGAACATGAAGGCTTCAGTATGGAGATCCTGGTCCCAGTCACAGAACATAAGAGGATGTTCGCTTAAGGGTTTCTCTTTTTTCTGAATCTTTGCACCATATTTAGCATAAAAGGATCATGTGCATGAAAACCACAACCTTTCAGTATAAATTCAGTTGGACTTGGTGTTAAAGGCCTTTACTGTCAATGATGATCAGATAAGAAAGGTGAGAGACATAATGAGTGTCTATATCTGCTTCTGCCAAAAGCAGAAGTGGTATTCAGCGGAGGCTGGTTTATTTGTGTCAGCAGTAAGCAAAGAGCTGCGAAGACAAC